TTTTATTATTTAAATATAAAGATAGAATGTTCATGCTCATACAACTTGAGTTTTATCTTAACTGACTTTTTATTAGCTGTTTCATTTATTCATGAAAAAATCCCCGAGATAATTATATTTTGTATTTAACGTTAACTTGCAGTTTTAAAAAAATGTTCTCGGAAAAGTATAAAAAATGATAACATTAAAAATTATTTTTTTACATCGTAAAGTGACGTGACGTTTGAGAATAAAAATATAAAAATTGCAAAGATTCGTTATGATTTCACTAATACAAGATTTTAAATTATATTTGTAAGCAGATATCTTTATCATCAACAGACATTTCATGTGATTCGTGCGTTTTCATACTGTTTGATGTGTTTAATTATCTTAATTATGATAGTTATGATATCAATTCTGGCAAGGAATGGTGATTAGAAAATATGATAAGAGTAATTATCAGATGTCCTTGAAACATGCGCAATGCTCATTGATAATACGGTTGAGATAAACAAAAATCGTAGAGCTAACAATAAATATTTACTAGCTGAATATATAGTGAATTGAATATTTTATAGATTTTTAATGAGGGGGGAGAACACAATATCCCCGTGATTTCTTAAACTATGTTTCCATTTTTTCAATCGTATGAGTGAAGAACAAAAACAGTGATTAAAAATTGGCTTTTTTTGATGAATGAGAGATTTTTCCATACAATGTTTTGTTGAATGATATGTTTTTCCTTATCTTATATTTCATCATATGAAATATTTTGTAGTGTCACAAACACATTGATTGAAAAATTAAACAAAATTAAAATGTTATGATTTTTGAATTTCATGTCTTACCAATTTTATAAAAATAAATATTTTTAAAACGTTACTCTTCAAATAAGCAATTTTATCTTCTATTATAAAACAAGAAATCATTACATAATAACTGAGTATTATCAGGTTTCGTTTTCTAATTAGCCGCCACAAAAATGATATTTATTCCTCCGGGTGAAATTGTCTGGTAATAAAATGGTTAACATGTTTATAATACTCATTTGTATTGTGACATTTAATTCTTAACAGTACAAATATTCTATTTCTATTATATGAGGTATGTTCATGGACTATTGTTTTCGTCTTTTATAATGTTATGTTTGGCACTCTTCCAATATTTTAATGTCTTAATTGACGTCACACTATTAATTTCATTAAGGAATCTCATTCACGAATACCGATTAAATTCCAACAAAAACTACTGCACTTTACAGCATCAGTTGAATTGCTTTTGGAAATCCTAGACTATTTGGGAAGCAACAAAATTCTGTGTAACACTTCACATAAACATTTAAACCACATATCTCTGATTTTCGAGGCAATACCTAACGAATAAGTGAGAAAGCAAAATAGTATTATGTAGATGAACACGTAGGTTTAAGTGTAATATATTATTTTTACTGAATTAACACATTTGTTTAAACTCAAGGGCAATTTTGAAATCTCAATTTTGGAAAATTGACTTTCTGCAATTATATCTGAATATTGAAAACATTTGAAAGTCTATAAGAAACATCGAAATATAAACGCTGTGGAAAAGACATACATAGCTAGAGAGATATAAAAATGCACTTTGATAATGCACTCCGAAGTTTTAGCACATTTTCTATAATATTCTCATTCCTGGTCCTATGTATACTTATCAATCACCAATAATTTTAACCTCTATGGTAGACAGAAACAATGCTGTAGTTTCAGATTATTTTTTTCTTCATTAAAAGTTAACAATATTTCAATCTATCGCATAATAAGAATATTGTCTTAACAAAAACAGCGAAAGGAGGATTTGAAATGATTACAGATATATTTCATTTGTCTGTTTTTTTTATAATGCTAAAACCCTCGTTAAAGAAAAGTTAATATTTCATGCAGTAGCACAAAGCATCTCTATTCAATGTTCAATAAGTTTTTGTAAGAAAGAATAATTCCTTTCTTTTCTTTAACCTAAACATTGTGATACAAAATATCCGCATAATCTTAAACAACCATGTGAACATAATTGTATGCTTTTTAGAAACATATACTGTACTCAGCATAATTAAACAGCTTACAAGTAAAGAAAAATAAATTTGTATTGAATGATCACTTTGCATGATTGATTGACACATATCCCTATAATGTTTATTTAATCAGATTTTGACATACTGTACATATGTTGTTGTATTTTGAAACAAGTTAAACAATGCATATATTATCATTTCACTGATAAAGAAAACACGTTGCCAAAAGAAATCAGACGAATAATGTTCCTTTGTCATTCATAAGTCAAGTCTAGCATATTTAATTGCAACGTAAAAGTGTTAAAAATCGTGATTTTGTTCGAATAGTGAAATAAATCCCATATTGTACTGTTCAGAATACAAGCAATGAACCATATATAGCCCTTCCAATTAAAGAATATAATTATAACAGATGTATAAGTCACAAAATGAGTAAAATAAAAATGCAGAGTATCGCTTCTAGCAACGGCTAAACATTGACCAAACTTTAATGATGTACCGCTTACAGTAATATTATCACAACACCTTCATCAGGATCAAAACAATAGAGATATTCTGCCACTTAAGTATGTATACAAAATGTGAACTACTTTTAGATGAAAGGCTACTTAAAAAGATGAAAAGTTACTTCACTAGTGAGACCAAAACAACATATTTTAAAAGAAACTCTAAAAATGATGTGTATTTGATATATTTTACTGTAGCAGTTACACCGCCGATAATTTCTTAACTTGTAATTATACAATTATTCTGTGTTCCTTCATTTCATTTAAATGGGAACCTTTAAAATTGAAATAAAATCCATATTTCCTTATATGAGCAGATTGTATGAAATACAAGTAGAAAGATGGACTTATACTTTATATGTTATATTATAATACTGCACATTTGTAACGTCAATTTTCATTGGATAATCGTGACTTTTATATAGTTTATATACACGGCTGCTGTCGATTCATAAAGAAATCTTACTTTTTTCTCTAAAAAATGATGCTTGCTGTATTACAAATTCGTTATAAAGATTGTTTACAGGTTATATGGCCGTATATAAACGGCTTTTTGCAATATAACACTCGCCTAACGGCTCGAGTTATATTTACAAATAGCCATATAACCTGTCAACGATCTTCATAAAAACTATATGTGATATCATTTAGTATTTTCTAGTATATTTGGTGCGTTTGTCTTGGGTAAAAATCTCGTATAATTTAACCATATATTTCCCATAAACCTCTTTTCTCGAAGCTTCTTAGTTAAATGAAACGATATAAATATGCTATGCATAGGCATAATTTATGATAAAGAGTGTTATTTTCCTATACCATGAGCCATACAGTGAAAAAGGAATATACAAAACGACAAATTTATAGCAACTGAACACGACAACTTTCAATAAAAACTAATTACTTTCAACTCTAAGGACGCTTTTAATTTGTTTAGAATGTGGGTAATGTATAAGAGATCTCACTTTATACGCAAATTCAAATATATTTGGTCATTTATAAGATAATATAAATATAAGCGATATATAAATGTAATATTTCCACAAGAAACCCACATAATTCTTACATTTATTGTAGCTATATCTGATACAGTAGAAAATTTGAAATAGTTAGGACTTTTCCAATTCAATTCAATAAGTATTTTCTAAAATGCCATAGAATTGTAGCATTTGCTGTTTTACACATGATAGAAACTGAAAGAATTCATGTCCGATCAAATTTATATTGTCAATGGATCCTTATTGTTATACATGTATTTCAAAAGTTGCTTCGAAATAAGTGTAAATAGAGTTAATCATATATCGCATGTTTATCCTGATCTGGCAAAAGTCAATACAATTATTCATTTGGACTATTTTATTTTAAATAAAGAACATCGATAGGCATTACAGAATATAAGTACATTCGATAGTAGGGTTATAATAACACTTTTATTTTGCTGTAGCCGTTGTTGCAGAGGCAAGATCACAAAAGATGCCTCCGGCTTACAAACATCAAAAGAGTAACAATAACAAGATCCAGATTTAAATATCTTTAATATGTATCTTACCTTAAGATCATGGTTGATGACATTATTTCCAGGATTGTCAGACTATTATTCAGATTAAGAAAGCAATAAATAAGATTTTTCATTTTATTGTTGTCTTTATTTTTCATTTTATTTTTGGGGTGGGTTTTTGTTTTTTGCTGTTTTTACTCGTATTTTGAATATGCAATAAAGGAAGTATGTTGAATAGGTTAAACATTATACTTGTACTTTAAAAACAGCATATAATGTTTTTTGTAGTCAGCAATTTCATTCAATATACAGTTGTTCAAAAGCCCTCCCTGCCACATGGGAAGATAATATTTCATAATCTCTTTATGCATGAATATATACTGGCAATGCTTTATCGCTTTATCAAATCAGCAAATAAAAATTTAAGACAAAATAATCTTCATTCTCAAGATTGTTTTTTCTCCCGTGCAGAAAAAGAACATGATATTATTTTTATTTTGATCATGTCTATAATTGCGATTAACATATTCCAATAAATTTTAACATACTATGTTGCTTTTTTTTCAATCACAGTAATATATTTATGGTATTATGAAATCTAATATCAAATTTAAACACATATGAAATACGACGTAAATTAACGTTTACCTTTATCTCAAACATTTTTTGCATGACAAAATTTTTAGGCCAATCAATAGAGTACGATATTAGGTAGTATAAAGTTAAATGAAATCATTTCTCTAGAGTTTAATATTATAACCTATATAGTCCTTTGCTTAGTGAAATTCACATATACTTATCCTATGTCAATTATTTTATTTTTCTGCATGATTTTAAACCGTCCTGTTTTTACAACATTGATTCTGACAATTAATGTACAAATTAAGATATAATCATATATATTGGAGTGTTTCATTTTATACATTATATAAATGATTTCATCTTCTTAATATAAAAAGACAACTCCTACCTTTTGGAGTCCAGGCGCTTACTGATACCGGATGAAACAAGTTTATTTTGGGAAGCAATCATTCGTCGTGTCGTCTTCGCCAAATGCTGGAAGAAAGATAGATTTGCCATTAGTCTTTGTATTGCTTATGAACAGATGACATATGGCTTTCCTTCCTTTTAATCCAACCTCAACATATCTTACGATTATGTACTATAATGAGTTTATATGTTGAAGAACAATTTATGCACAGTTTTCCTATACCCTTAAAGAAGTATAACCTTTCAGATTTATTACAGGTCATGCATGGTTCAACATATAACGCAGGATGTTTTTCACATTATCTCCGAGAGATGATATGACATTACTACAATGATAGTGTATATACACACCATTCTACAGACAGGAAATTGGCATAGCATACAATAAATGACGCTTTGTTGTTATAAGTGGTCGTTCTAACTACAAATATTGAATAAGACAATGCCATCATTTTCTTCTACAGAACAGAAATATTCAGTCTGTTTTCATCATTAGCACTAGCCATAAATAATGAGTATTTCGACGAAAACTTCTCAAAGCTTTTTAAAATTTGGAAATTTGGAAAAGGGGAGATCCCACAAGAGCAATGAAAACAAAGTTAAATGATGAAAACGGCAGATTCACATTGATTTAATCTCTTCGTGCGATACTGGAAAGTGCAACATTTCAAACGCTACCTAGCACCGGCTTAAGAAGTCAAAAAACATGTTTCATGAGTTGAGAGATACCAATGTAAAAACAAATGAAAGGTAAATGAAATAAGTTTTTTTTATTTTATCGGTTTTAAAAAAAACTTTGACAGGTTATATGGTCTTCTATAAACGGGTGTTTGCAAATATAACCCGAGCTGTTGGGCGATTACCCTGGTGGCTCCAAACCGGTAGTCCTGTGTTGCAGGTTTGGTTGTGCGGGGATGCGTTCCTTGTTGATCATTTCATAATTCATTTTGCAAAGTTTTTTATAAACGACAATATAACCTGTCAAAACTTAATAATGAATTTGTAATACAGCAAACTTTCCTTATAAGATAAACCAAATCTTCATAAATTGAAAGTAGCTTTGTAAATTGAAACGTCAAGATTATCCAATGGAAATCGACATTACAAACATGCAGTATTAAAAGTTAAATATCAAATGTTTAAAATATATAAAAGATCTTCATTTAAGGCAAATAGATGCATTGATAGTGTAAGTGTAACTTTGACGTGCAAGTTTATCAAATTTATCTTTTGAGATGATCGTTCATTAGATGCTTCATTTACAAGTCTCCCTGTAACGATTTAATTCAAATTATGTGTAAAGCAACATGCAAACTGCTCATTAGTTAATAACTGTTCTTAGCTTGATGCAATTATAAATGCCCTAAGCCTCTGCACTTCCGTGGAAACGAGGTTATGCTTTCACCTTGGTTTTTTATTTGAGAAATATCTATCCGACGATTTTTTATATATGACAATTAGCTTAAAAAAGAGTATGATTTCAGACTGCTTATGTTTATTGCCGTTTTCAATTTTCGGTCAAGTCTTTGTAAATATTGCATTCGCCGATTCATCAATAAGACTTTCTTGTTTATATGTAAGAACATCGTCATAAGGTTTTTCTTCTAGCTTTATTACGAGTCTGTGGTTGAATTTATCTGCCACAAAACGTTTCCGCTAGATATCTATCTCATTTTGTACTTTGATAACATACTTTTCAATAAATATTTTATATTAACGTTTTTTACGGGGTTTGCTTCACTTTACTTTATGGCATGCTTGATGAGTGAACACGAGCGTGTCAGATTTCTAACACAATTAATTATAGATTTTTCTTACGGCGTTGGCTTAGTAAAAAGTAAAAAATACGCAGAAAAATTTTAGCTGATTTTCTTCTATTTCGTTTTAAAATGTACAATGAATGCATTGATAAAAAGTAATATCCTAATGTTAACTGTTTTTATATATCAGTTCTAGTTTATATTGTTATCAAAGCCTTATTAAATTTGTTGAAGGGATTTCTTAAAAAAATGTATTTTTTTATTTGTTGTAATGATCTTATTTTTTCATGGCATCAGTGTGTTTTTCACTTAATCTAAAAATTGAGATCTTTACATCTTCTGAACTGATTAAAAAGCAAAAATCATAGCTTGCAAGCTTGGTTTTATTGAGCTTGTTTATTTGCCGGTATTGATTAATACAAGCTTTCAGCAACGCCCACTTTCACCGCCTTAACAGTCGTGAACATTTATACACGATAATAGTGACATTTTGTAAACTATTTCAAGCAAGTTAATTGTATCTTCATTTTTGTATTTCATCATCTTTCGAACGTTTTATCTCATAAACTATGATATAACTATAGCAAATAAGTTTGACTAAAATCAGTCAAAACCTAATATTTAAAGCATATATAAACCAAAAAACAAAGTATGAATATAAATAAGAAAAATAGTATTTGGTATTCGCTGTCTTATTGATTTTACTGAAAGAATAAGAATGTTAAACATCGTATTCATTCACTGATTTGGATATTTTGCCAATATCATGTTATCAAAATTAAGATTTTTCATTATATACAAGGTCATATACAAGGTCAAAGAGGATTCATGTGACTACCCTACATGTTTTCTCCTTTACTTGTAAAAGGTGATCATCTTACTAGAAACATGCATTCGTTTTATATATTTTATTTGCAATATTATTGTGGAAATTTGAAAAGAAAATTTATTTGTTCACTTAAATAACTGCTTACTTTTACTGTGAAATTGATATGATTGCTGACAAAATAACTACAAAATAGCAATAACTTGACAAAACTATTACAGATACAATAACAATTTTTTAGGTCAATATATGCAAATAACGACCATGCGGGGTTCTTAATAAAACAGACTCAGTTCCATTAACAGCTTCCATGGAGACATGCTTCTTATTTCTCTGATTAAGAATGTGGTAGATGCTCATTAAGTTGCCTAGCAATGCAATCGACATTCATCTGTGTGTTGTCATTATACAGAAATGGAGAATACTGATACAATCCGTGTCTTATTTTTTTCGGACACGATTTATCGATAAAACCAAACTTTAAATGAGGAATAAAATTTAAATTATTTCATATTTCAGGACAAAGCTCAAAACACTGGGACAAAGTCAAATAACCATTTTTATATCTGATTGTGTAAGTAAACTTTTAACTGATTTACTGATACATGAAGATGTTATGGATATAGTCTGTGTCTGTTCATATTCTATACTGAACGCGTACGATCATCCTTCTATACGGGCCAAACAAAACAAACGCATAAACACTACGTACGTATTAAGATTAAGATATTAAGCTTTTTAGATTTAGTCGGATTATTCTTGTTACTTTTTTGCTTTAACATTTATTAGATGTTTTTCTTTGTTTTTGTTGTTGTTGTAATAATATTTCCTACGAAAACAAGACAACATTTTGTTTGTAAGATCAAACGCTGCAAATATATATACATGAAACTATATATAATTTTGTATCTATGTACCTGTATGTTACAACTCTTCATAATCAGTTTTAACTACGACCTCAATCAAGTTTTATTCATGAATGTATCTTAATAAATTATTATAAATAAATGTTATGTGGTAACGATGAACAATAAATATATAGACATACTCGTATTTCTAAAAAGTTCTCAATGATATTAAGTCCATACTCAATACTTTTCATTTCACAATAAATGTCAATGTAACCAACCCAAAAGCATTTAACTGAATAAATAATCAATCTTTATGAATAAATAATCAATCTTTAAAGCCTTTTTGAAATTTGATAAATTTTGGGGGAAATCCCTTTTTTTATGAAAAAATGCTTCCAGAAAAACCCCCCCCGTTTAGGTAAAACACCGTTTTTTGAGAAAAGTTTCATGAAATATTTTATTTATAACTGTTTGGCCCAATTCATTTTTATTATCTGGGTTTGTTATTTGAAAATTTTCTTTTTCCCTAAAAGGGGGTTTTGTTTTTATGAGGGAAAAAATATTGAAAAAGTTTTTGGTTTTTTAAACATTTACCCCTTTGTAAATTTAAATCCTTTTTCAAAAATTTTTATAAGATCAACTTTTGTTTTTTCATTTTTCTTTTGGCCACCCATTTTTTTAAATTTAGGTTTTATTTTTTAAATGGGCTTATTCCCCGGATAAGACTTTAAACTTGAGCGTCTAAGTAAATGATCAAAGATATCTATCAATAAGAAGTTAATGTTTATGTAACATATTTTGTTGTTAAATTAAATGATGTGGATTCGATATATTGCAATTTAACAACAAAATACTGGTTACAATAGAGAACATTAACTTTTTATAGTGAAAGAATATCTTTGAATACTTTAAATGCCCTAATGATTTCCCAAAGATTCAAAGCCTAATCCTCGTATTAAAACTACCGCAATATTTTGTTTTTTTGGAAAAAACTTATTTGGTTCTAAACCACCACTTTATATATTTGGTAAAATTATATAAAGTCAAACAATAAAATGTATGACTATTCTATAAAAAGAATATAAAAGTTGTACTTCATTAAGCATGGTTTAATTTTATGCATTAATTAACTGATACAGTACGAGTAAAAACTAAAAATGAGTAAAACAATAAACATTTATTAGCTATTTTTGAACTTGACTTCTTTTCATGTAATCATTACATTTGATTCACTGTTTATTAATTTTATATTCATTTACCATGACATAATTCCTGAACTTAAATATACAAGAAAAGTAACAAGGACATATATAAAAGTCACAAACGGTGCATGCAATTTTCTAAACTGATCGATAGCTACCAAACAGGCCACCGATATTACTCACGAAGATTTATAGCATTTGAAAGTTCCATTTATTTAGTTGTTTATCAGTCAGCAAAACAGTATAGTTCCTGCTAATAACGTGTTACAGGCGATTCACTTGATTATTTTACATGCTTTTCTCATTACTAGTGGTAGATGATCTGACAGGTAATAAATTTGCTTGTATTCTCTCTGCTATGTTTGCTTTCTGTTTTTGCCGACTCAGTGAAAATTTACATTTATCCTTTGATACAAACAAACAATAG